TCGCAATATGGCAGGTTTGAAAGATGACCTTATCACAAAAATTGATAAGGGCGTGCTTCGATGGTTTGGGCACGTTGAACGAATGAGTGAAGACCGAATGGTGAAGAAAATATATAGCGCGAAAGTTAATATTAAAAGGTGTCGAGGTAGACCGAGACTAACTTTCGAAAACCATGTGAGCAAATTGCTCGAAGAGGGGAGGATCAAGAGTACTCGGATACCTAGACGTGCATGTATGAAGAAGTTAATGAATCTGAAAGAAGCGGAAGAGGTATGTAAGGATCGTGACACTTGGCGATCTGTTTTCTCTGGCTACCCCGTCAGGGATTGTGCGTGAAGATATGTAATTAAGTAAGGAAATGTAACAAAATCCCGGGACATTGTCTGATTTCCCGGGCATTTGGCAAGTTCAGGCAACTTTGGCGTTGGCAGTAAAAATGGGCGTGTCCCGATCAAATCTCTTAAACATTGCTAATATATTTAGATCAAATGGGCTGATTATTCGCCTAGGGAGTTGCGTGTGCAATTACTGTCTAAATGTAACGTTTAAAATAAGTGCCGTTACCTTTTTTTTAGAAAAGGGGGCAAACGAGCATGCGGCTCACCTGATGGTAAGTGACTACCGCCGCCCATGAACAACCGCAACACCAGGGGAATTGCAGAAGCGTTGCTGGCCTTTTAGAAAGGTGTAAGCTCTTTTCTTGAAATTTCCTAAGTCGTATCGGTCCGGAAAAATCGCTGGTGGTAATCGATTCCACAAGGAAGTTGTGCGAGGGAGAAAACTTCTTCCAAATCTCACAGTGGTGGACCGCCAATCATCCAGATGGTATGGATGGTAACGCGAGTTTTGTCGCGATATGCGATGGTGAAATTGAGCGGCTGGAATTAATCCGAACAATTCCTCAGAGCACTCCCCGTGATAGATGCGATAAAATACGCAAAGAGATGCAACATCTCTACGCAGTGCCAGTATATCAAGCCGATCAGAAAGAACTTGATCGTTGAGGATTCGAACAGCTCTGCGCTGGATGCGGTCAAGTGGAAGAAGCTGGCACTGGGGTGCCTCGGCCCAGAGATTAGTCAGTATTCCATGTGAGGCCGAACTTGCGCTTTGTAAAGTTGTAAGCGATGTGCCGGATGAAATACTGTCTCGCTCTGCTGAGCACGCCAAGCTTTTTAGAGGCCAATTTGGCCTTCCCTTCCAAGTGACCACGAAACTGCACACTACTCGATATGTCGACGCCAAGGATTCCGATGCTAGCTGAGGCAGCAAGGGGAGTGCCTTGAAACTAAGGAGATACGACAAAGGGGTGCTTTTTAGCGGTAAACGCGCAAACTTGTGTCTTCTGAGGATTGAACTGGACTAAATTTAGTCGCCCCCAATCCGAGACTTTGTTAAGCAAAGACTCGACTTCAGACACAAGTTTATCCCGGTACTCAGCGACGTTTTCCCGAGAAATATTGGCACGGCCGGTATATAAGGTATCACCAGTGCTGTTAGAGCATGCACCGTCTACTACGACCTTGATGCTCCGATTAGCAAGGAAACTGATGATCCATTTGCACAATTTCTCGGGAAGCCCATAGGAAGGAAGCTTCGAAAGAAGCGCTTTGCGCCAGACCCGATCGACTTTACATCCTATAAATAGTACACTGTTGAACGTAGGCCTCACTCATAGATTACATCAGGATATTTGCCATAGTTGCCACGCTTGGCAAGCGGGTTGGCAACCGTAGTTAGTTATTTTGCTCATATCAAGAAGATGGTATCAGGAAGATGGTGCTGCCTATCTCCCGGTTCAGTTTCCCACTGTAGGTACCCACGGGACGATATGGGGTAGTGGATATTCTTACACCATCAATACACGGTAATATTACGGTACGGATAACAATAGATGGATAGGTGTAGGTATATATAAATGGCGATCAAGTGACAACATTAATAAATATTCAGTACATGTTTATTGAATAACAAAATAACTTAGTTTAAATAACAATAGATATTATTTATTGCTTTGAAACAATTCAGCAACCTACTTCACTTTAAATAGAAATTACGTTGCTTATTCAAGCACAACTAATGCTTTGTAAACATACCTGTACGTATAGTTCAATATTAATATAAATAAAGGTTAATGTATTCTTGCGGGGAAATTTTATTCTTGTATGATTCATTTACATAATATTATGGTAATATTATGGTATGCAGTATATTTTACGAAAAAAAAGAAAAAGAAAATAACAGCCTATATATAATATTACGTACCAACTCCCGCTCCTCGGCACAAGCCATCTCTCATTTTTGAGGATGCAAGAGCAACGAAATGTCCACCGCGCTACTTCAATGCGAGTTGACAGACTTCACATGTCTTCGATATATTACTACTATAATATACTTTTTTAAATTCCTCATACGTGCAGGTTTCCTCACGATATTTACGTGGTAAGTCAATCACTGAAGTCATCACTTAAAATTGCAATTAACAATTTCTTTGATGCTGACGGGAATCAAACCCAGGTCGTTCGCGTACTATGAAATTTACAGCGAGTGCTTGGTTCCTGGGCTACCACGGCTCTCCATTCATCACTGTAATCTGCTAAACTGGATCAATATAATTGCTGGATTACTAAGCACTACTTTAAGCGGTCTGTTATTGCATAATTCTCTTTGACTTGAGTTGAAACCCAATTGCATGATCAAGCACTAATCGCTAAAACCTTTAGCTTATCTAATCTGTGCCTTTAGCCATTAATTATAAATCAGAATTGCAAACAAAAACATAGCCATTTTGTAATCAGTTAAATATAAATTAATAATATCAAACGATACGTAACTGAGCGTCGTTAGGAAATAACCATTGCTCGAATGAAACTCAACCTGAAATCACGGAGAAATTTCATTTTTCCACCGACTTCAAAAAGGAGCCGGTACTCAATTCGACTGGATGTTTTTTTATGTGTGTTACCTCATAACTTTTTACAGGTTGAACCGATTTCGATGATTCTTTTTTCATTTGAAAGCTGATGCTTCACATGTGGTCCCATATAAATTTGATCAAGGTCTGTGATAGTTTTTGAGTTATTCTTAATAATTTATATTGAAGTCGGTTGCACAAAATTTTTAATTTTTAATTATCCTTGCAAAAGGCAAGTTTCTGGGACCGGGGAAGGTCCACGGTCTCACAGAATACCAGCGTTAAATAATAACTCAAAGCTGCTTTCGTATGGTGAGTGTAGAGAACCAGAGATTAGTTTACTATGGCAGGGAGGCCTATTTTCGGGAGAGAACTTGTGATGGGCTATAATGATAGTAAGCTACGGTATTATTAGTACCACCTATGTACAGAGATTTTTTTTTAATATTTTTTTAGAAAAAATAAATATCTCAAGTGTTCAAATACACTAAAGTTACGCGTTTTCTTCCGCGTGGTTGATTTGGGATAAATTATTAAATTTAATTTAATTAAAAATATATACGTTATTATATCTTTATATATAAAAATTACGTATCTCACTGCATGTCTGAGATAATCTCCTAAGCCACCGAACTGATTTCAATAAAAATTTTATAATTTTACTTTTATTCCTATATGTGACCCTCGATATTTTTTATTGCGAATTCAAGGATTTTAATAGCACAAAGGGTCGTCGGAAAGAATATATTAAACATAAATGACAAAAATGGCCCAAGTGCGGGACTAACGACTTTAACTTCTTCTTCTTTTAACGACATATCTGAAAGGACGTCAAGCTGCAACAAAAGCACTACATCGCGTCAAATAGAGCTATAGAATCAAAATGTCTTTCAAACCGAATTTCAGACACGCGGAATAGACTCAACGCAGAGTAGCCATCTGCGCGGAACAGGATTATATGCGCAAGCGCTGTTGCACTTCCCTCACTCTCAAGTTCGATGGAACGGCTATTAGATACCACTGGTGAGAGATCAAGTGCAGGACCAACGGCATTACGTGCTTTTTGAGACTGGCGTGAAACACCTCCAACTTTCTGACTCCGTACTGCTGCAGACAATTTCTTGACAGAAGACTCTCTTCAAAAAGAAGAGATTTTGGCCCCACCTGTAGATTGGTAGTCGCACTTAGGACCACTAGACCATCTTACTGGAAAATTCCATTCCATCTTAATACTCACGGCTGACAACGCATCTACATTTTAACTCGCAACCGAAGATAGATGTAGATGTCTATGGGCCCTAGCAACCACTTACCATAAGGTGGACTGTGTGCTCGTTTGTCACCCTTATTCTATAAAAAAAGACCAATGAGGCACTCGAGACAGTAGAGAGAAAAGTAAGTATTATTTACCATAATATGCTAAATATTAAATAATAATTATTTTTCCTCAACACAAAGAACCGACAAACGATGGGAGAAAAAGTTTCTTGAGTGGCAGTCTCGGCAAGTGAAGGCAATAGAATAAGTGACAACCTGGTAAGAGATGCAAGAAGTCGATGGACACAGGTGGCTCATGACCGTGCTTTGTGGCATTCCTTGTAAAAAGTCTAAGTTCAGCAGAAGGCTTGTGATAGCTATAAAGTTGATGATGATTCAACATACAGTAATATATACATAGAACCAGTATAATTACAGATTCTGGGGTATTCCATTTTGGTCATCAGAGGTGACAAATTAATACAAAGGCATCTGTGGACTTCTTTGTTTTGAAGTTAGTTACAAATGTCGATGGGCTGCTGTAGTCAGTACCTTCAGGTGGACTGTAATTTCTTTTACCATTTCAGTTTTAAAATTGTAATGGGAAAATGTTAAGAAATCAATAATTAATTTGTAAAGACTACATGGCTAGAAAGCCGCGCGACTAGCTAGCTAGCTTAACTCTACTACGAAAAATTGTATTTATGAGGCTACGATAGTAAGCAATAGATAAAAATATAACATTATTTTATGATGTTTTGTTGATAGGGCAATTGAAAATACATCTTAATTTTTTTATTATTAATAAATTATTTTTCGTAATCTTACCTGTGAAAAAACCAAGAAAGAAGTTGGAAAAGCAGCAAGTCCACAAAGGAGGTAAAAAAGTAACACGTGCCAGGAGCCTGTCTTAGTTGCGAGCACAGCTGCTTCATCAAGCTCTTTAGTCCACGAACTCATTTCATTTTCTTCTTAATGTTTATTTTTTTAAATCCGCGAACTATTAAGTTATATTTAAAGAATTTACAAAATAATGAAATCAAATCATCACTGTAATTTTTGAATGAAATTAATAGTATGTTTTTATTTAACAGTGGCTGTTTCTATCAATTAACGTGTATTGCGGCCATTATGTACTTTTGTCTATAATTTCGAAATATAATGTTTTTATTTTCATATTAAGCATTTTCACTTTAAATCGTTATATCGATAATTCAACCAACGTGTAACCCCGACTGAGAAGTAAGCAAACTGAACTAGCGGCTGGCGCAGACCAATTATACTATAATATATTATGGACTAACTAGGACCCTTTTACTGACTGTGCGCAGTTTACTTCACGCTTTGTTTCGCTTGCAGTCTCCTCTATTGCTCTATTATATTAATATGAGTAGTTTTATGTAGTGTAAGACGAAGTACTCAAGGAGTATGTTGTAGCTCAGCAAACGCCTGTACATCGTGTCAACGATTTCGGTTTTTTTTTTAATGGCTTGTACATGAAAGTCGCCAGTTATTACTTTAGTCGTTTTTCGACAAAGTGTATTCCTCAATATGTTTAAAACTGCCATGTGCCTTTCCAGTAAATAGTCTGAGAGCTGGCGACGAATTTTGGGAAGGTCCTTTGGGAAAAAATAATTTGAAATTTGAGATCGCCAAAAGTATATTTTTGGGAACTAAAAAAAAATATTTTTGGAGAGGTCTGGTAATACTTTATAACCGACAAAAACGTCTGGGATATTTTTTTTTGAATTACATAAAAACTAAATTAAAAGATAAAAAAGAAATCAAGTTGCCAAAAGAACATTTTTTTGGTTTTTTTTTTTTTGCAAAGTTATATACTGCGCAGTAACAAAATAACCGCAAACGCTCAGCCAGACTCGCGGGACTGGATTCGCCAATTGACGAAATTATATTTTTTTACAATTTCAACTTGCCCAAAGGACCTTCCCAAAATTCGTCGCCAGCTCTCAGGCTAAAAGCTAAATGTTGCATTGTTTTTAACAGTTGCACATACTCAAGTACTGCAAGAGTGTGGTGTTGTTTCGGAGTTATTTTTTAACCCCCGATGATAACAGAGGGTTGTTATAAGTTTGTAGAGTCTGTATCTTTGTATATGTATATATGTGTACCCATTTATATGTGGCATCATAGCTCTTGAACGGATTAACCGATTTTAATTAAGTTTCTTTCGTTTAGAAGGTGTCTTAATCGAGAGTGTTCTTAGTTATGTTACAAGGAAATCTGTTCAGCCGTTTGAAGATCATCAGCTCTTTTAGTTTCGGGGTTTTTTAAATTTTTAATTTAAGTTGTTTATTCATAGCAAAGTGATCAGCCCGGGAAGCGGTCGACGCTCCATATGATAGGTCGGAACTATTCTGTATATACCGCAGTACTATGGAACTTTGATAGCGTGATTTAGGTTTCAATGCGTTTTACATCACCCCCTCCCCCTGCTAAGAATGGAGGTCGATAATGTAGTCCGATTGCCGGTGCGTCATTAAAACTTAATTCCGGCAAAAAGTCCTATGCCTGAACCTGTTACTATATAAACTGCATCGTTGATCTGGCGGTCGTAAGCGGCATTGCTGATCATGAGGTCTCTGGTTCTAATCCAAGGTCGGTTCAAAATCAGTAATTGGGTTTCTCTGTCAAGAAATTTTCAATAGTAGCCCCCGGGTCAGGAATTTGGCATTGTGTCAACATGGCCTCGGAAAACACTTAAAGCTAATCCTATGGCTGATTTATCTCCGCTCGTGTCGGATTGTCGTCTCATCAGACTATGAGAACAAGAAAATACAGATTTTTATAGAATTAGGAAGATAAACGAGCACACAGTCCACCTGATGTTAAGTAGTTGCTGTGGCCCATAGACATCTACATCTATCCTCGGTTACGAATCAAAATGCAGATGCGTTGTCCCCTGTGAGGACTACGATGGAATGCCTCGATTCCGGTAAAAATGGTTTCCGGTTCTCTACACTCACCACACGAAACACAGCAGCATTAAGCTGCTATTTTACGCTGGTATTCTGTGAGAGCGTTGTCGTTCCCCAGTCGAGCCGACCCATTCGTGCCACATCTATACTATTAATATAGCTGCCCTATGGCTCTACGACGTAAAAGAATGCACTTGTGCGGTAAATGGCTAGTCACCGTTGAGAATTGCCGCCGTGACACAGTCTGGAAAACATTACGCTATAGTCAGATATTATGTCTCGTTAACAATCAAGCACAGTTTATGTAATAGACTTAAACGTAGAAGTATAGACATTCAACTTTAACCTTAAAGATATCCATCGGCTCTACACTCAGAGGGTCAGTTATTTTTAAACTGGGTCAGTTGTTCAGAGGAACTACGAATGGTCGTAAATAATCCGCCTGTTTGTCGGTATATTATTTACAATGACATAAATGGAAGCATAACTCGTAATTAACATTATTATTGTATAAGGAATATAGATATGATATTCATAGATTAGTTTTTTGATAGAGCCGCGTTTCAGCTACGATAAGGATATAGTCTATGTCATCTCAAGATTTGTACACAGAAATAAAAATAATATTTAGTAATTATCAGCCTATAATAAGTAAAAATTGTAATGATGAATATTCTATTAAAAATATTATATATAATTATTTTTATAGGATAGGGTGACAAACGAGCACACAGGCCACCTGATGATAAGTGGTTGCTGTGGCCCATAGACATCTACATCTATCCTCGTTTGCGAATCAAAATGCAGATGCGTTGTCACCCGTGAGGACTAAGATGGAATGCCTCATTTCCAGTAAAAAGGGTCTCCGGTTCTCTACACTCACCATACGAAACACAGAAGCGTTAAGCTGCTATTTTACACTGGTCTTCTGTGAGAGCGTGGTCCTTCTCCGGTCGAGCCGACCCATTCGTGCTACAACTATACTACTACTATAGCTGCAGGATGGCTCTAGCACGTGTTAAAATTATATATTTAATATGAACTTTCCATATGTGAGTATTTTTAATAATGATGCTTTGGTCAGCGATTGCTCGCGAGTCGCCATGTGTTGCTTCGACTAAATATCATCACTGCGGTAACCCTGTTGCTGTGGCATTATGTTAAGTAAAGTTATGTGAGCTACGCCATTACTTCAACGAGTTCCTACTGCAGGAGACCTTGTGACAAGAAGCCGCAAGAAACAAACATGAACTACTACGACTGTTTTTCTCACAACAGTTATAATTTAGCCTTAAAATTAAAAAATACATAAGTAAAAAACTCTAATATCGAATAATTCACAAAAATGCTTTATACATGCGCTTTGATTTTATGCAGTCATCGGTTTTTTTGAAAGTAGATAAATAATAAATAAAGAAATAAAAAGTATTTATTTGACACAAAAAAATAATGTTACAATTTAAATAGACAGTTTAATAATTCGTTGTGACAAAATAGTCTGTGACTCATTTGTAACAGAAAACCCATTACTCACGCTATTCTGCCACAGCCTTTACGCCAAACCATACAGATTAAACACACGTATCTTAAAATAAAGCTAACAATAAATAAATCAATAAAGAAGATGGAAACTGAATTATAAAATGTATTTAATTACAGCTTAAAATACTCAAACAACACACATATATCATTAGCTGTGATAATCCTATTAAGTATTCTAAGTCACAGCCATGAAGATATTGGATTATTATTGGAAAAATTTAATAATAAAATGCCATTAAATTTATGCATACATACAAATATGTATAGGTGAAACTAATAAAAGCATTTCAAAAAGAAATTAAATAAGCTGCTTCATTACTTGAGAAAGTTTATCATGCGAATTGGCGAAGAAGATGGGCCAGATTACCCAGTATCCTTGTACCCAGTGTACTAGTGTAAGGTACGTTGTAGAGCCAAGCTGCAGCTATATTTATAATATAGTTGTAGCACGAATGGGTCGGTTCAACCGTGGAAGGACAACGCTCTCACAGAATACCAGCGTAAAATAGCAGCTTAACGCTGCTGTGTTTCGTATGGTGAGTGTAGAGAACCGGAGACCCTTTTTACTGGAAAAGAGGCATTCCACCTTAGTCCTCAAGGCTGACAACGTATCTGCAGTTTGACTCGCAAGCGAGGATAGATGTAGATGCCTATGAGCCACAGCAACCACTAACCATCAGTTGGACTGTGTGCTCAATTGTCACCCCATTTCTATAAAAAAAAAAACCCTGAACTGACTAGCATGTATGCGTAGGTATATAGGAGGCGAGAGAGGTGTATCAGGACCGTGCCGAACGGCAGTCCGTAGGTTCTGCCTACCCCTCTAGATGACAGGCGTGAATGTTTATGTATGTATTTGAGATAGCTATTTGGACTACACTTGAATACATAAATATTTGTTTACGTATAATATTCAATAATGAAAGTTAAAAAAGATGACAGTAAATATTAATCTTATTGTCCGTCCGTGTGCAACAACAATAGGCCGTGAACTGTTCCGCGTGGAAGTCCATTCGCTAAACGATAAATTGCATTCAATTGAAGTTGCGTTTGCATCGGCTGTGGCCCTTCTCATTTAATCGTACATTTATTCGTTGGTGGATTTTGTAGCATCTTAACAAGTTTGTTGGCAATATCAATTTCTATAAACTAGCAGCAAGATCTGGGTCAATGGTTACAGAAAACAGAACGGACACGGTAGTGTACGGGGCTCCCGATAAATGGAGTGACGATCTGGTAAAACATACAGGAAGTCGATGGATGCAGGTGGCGTAGTATCGTGCTGTATGGAATTTTAGTTGTGCTATGTTCTACAGTAGACTTGCGAAAGGCTAAAATAATGATGAACAGTAGAACGTACTTGATGTATGTGTGGTGTTAAACCGCGTCTACACCAAAGTTTTGTTGTCAACACAACAGTTGGTAACAAAACTTGAAACATTTTCAGTGGCAAAATCAAAGGAATACGCTTGTTGCAAACAT